CTTTTAACATAGTATATTTTCTGAAAGCAAGTTATACCTGTATATCATATTCATTCATTTACTGTGCTGGGACTGGATTTTTAAAGTTAATTTTAAGCTTTAGAAAAATCAGTCAGATACCATTCCTTTTGTAAGATGCCAGATTATGTTTTGTTGACCTCTCCTATCAAATGACCCATTTAGGAATTCTAGTCTGGGTGATCTCCTGAGACACACAGTTGGACTAAGTTTGTTTCCTTGTCATTCTCTTTAGATCTGATAAACACTTTTTATTCTGTGTGTGTGCGTGCGTGCATATATTTGTGTGTTTCTTAATTCTATATCTACTTACAATGCACATATCATAGTTTCACTTGCTGGCTTGTTTAGTTTTAAGAAATAAAAATGATGTTCTGTTTCTAAAATCCCCACTTAGATCACTCCTGATGTGTTATGTTTCAGGAGTAAAGAGGTTTGATCTACATATTTATTCAACCTAAACATATCTAACTTCTTGTACTTATTTGTCAATTACTTTACAACATTCTTCGTATTTACTTTTTTGTTAAATCAGTGGGATTTTTTATGTCTTGTTACGTTTTTTGTCTGCTTAAAGATGTATTTGTTACTGAAATATTAAATCAACTTAGAAAAGAACATCCAAAAGTTTGTTTAGAAATTCACCTACGCACATACTAATGCATCTGTAATGGGGACGTTTCTTTTCACACCTCTAAGGTGATTGAGCCAGTCCTTTAAAGTGAGATTAGCAAACCAATGTGTGGCAGCTCCAATTAGCTTCTTTTTGGTTTGAAGCACATCACAAACAGTAACAAGGTCTCCTAGGACACTTCTCTTGCAAGCAGTGTAGTCATATTTCCTCATTAGTTCTTTTCAATTGTCACTAATGCCATGTTCCAGCTTTTGAGTAGGAGACAAAAAACATAAAAATTTGGTATGTATGTAGAATGGGCCATTGTTTTCCATAATTCAAGGCTCCTTTGAATTCCTTTGATAGTTTTGAAGCTTACACAGCATAATTCATTAACCTTTACCCTTCACATAAATCAGGTGATTAGCAATCTATTGCTAAGGATACAGACCTTCCCTCCAGTAAAACTTAGTACTTTTCTCTGCTTAAAAACAAAACAGAAAACTTAAATAGTTCAAAATAACCTATTGCTTTTCAAATTTCATCAAATGTTTCAGGTACATTTTAAGAACATTATCAAAATCACAAGAGCATAAAATTACATTATTATCAAAAATAATTCTGGCTGCTTTGAATACTTCAGAGCAGGTTTTCTGGCACTTTGCTGTATTCTAAACGAGTATATATATATGTATATATGTATACACATACATACATATTCAACAACTGTTACTCAAGAATTTACAATAGTAGCAATTTTTTTAAAATTCTCTTCAGATTTCTGCCAAAACATAAAAGCAAGAAAATAATCTGAGGGGAAGCAATTCAGAATAACTAAAGAGTATTTAAATGAGCCCAGGACATTAATTTGGAGAAAATTTTTATACACATCTTCATTTTGCAGAGAATGATGATGTAGAATCTCCCCAAAACGGTAAGTGGTGGTTCTATAGTTCCTTATAAGTGAGACTAGAATTATGTATGTTGAGTTTTTCTTTCTTTTTGTTAAAGACATATCTTCAGTTATTTCTCAGAATTTGGGAAGATGGTTTGGTAGGCTTCATTTTGTTTGATATATATGTTGTTTGGGCTTCTTTAAGAGTATTGATATTCTATGAAATTTTTCTTCCATGATATTTTCCCACATTATGAATTTGATCATACAGATTGTTACTTTTCCTAATGATACAGTTTTTTCCTGAGTTTAATAATTCCCTATGTTACCATGCATGAAGAAATCTTTGGTATTGCCCTATATAGACTCTTGGTCATATGATATTCTGAGGTTTATCTTTAGAAATGAGGACAAGGGGTTAGGGGGATTTCATAACAATTTGAATTCTGGATTCTGAGTTTAGGGGTTTATGACTTTTCTCCAGAGACAAACTTATAATTTATCACTGAGGTTGATAAATACTCTCCTATGTGATATCTATGAATGCAAAAGGGAGTGAAGAGGGAATGGGTTTAAATGGAGTCTTTAGTTCTGTCACTCTCATTTAAATGAGCACTTTGCAAATATTTCTCTCTTTTATTAGTACCATTTTTAAAACTTTGAGAGTTACACAAAGAACTGGTTGTCAAACATATATGATCATTTATCACTTCGTTTTATTTTCTGCATGCCACCTATACAGAGAACTGGCAGATGCTCTGATGTTAACACACGAAAGGTCAGGACTAGCTAGAGCCAATATAGTTTGTAAAACAGAGTAACTGTGATTCACAGAACTTGTGTTGTTATGTTAGTAGAATTCCTGTAAATATATTCTGGAATGGACTACCGAAGTTTGAGGAGAGGACAGTCACCATCTGTGGTCTCTCATTATGACCTGTTATCACCACATGCTGCCTGGGCAACTAGACCTAGGTGAATTTTAAGTCTTCAGACACTAGTGGGGGACATGAAGTGGTATTCTGTTTTCATCAATTTTCAGTAACACAGTAATGCGAACTACTTCTATTTTACCTTTCAGAACATGAGCTACTTTAGCTGTTTACTTCAACTACTGTTATTTTTGTTTGAATGTTATATTAAGAGTTTAACTTTATATTCACAGAAATTGTGATTTCTCTCCTCATATATCATATCCCTGAAAGATATACTGTACAATTATATTTTGTTGCAAATCCTCCGAAGAATACTTTTTTTCCTCCATACATTCTTATTCCAGGAATAGTTCTCTGTTGTACATAACTCCTAGCATACTGGCTGTGATTATAGGACAATTAAAAGTATTTGGAAACTCTTGTGTAACTGAACTTCCATGAACATAGCAAAAATCCTATGTGATCCTTTGTTAAAAGCAAAGTATTCTATTTCTCCTTTGTTAGTCTCTAAGATATTTAGTGCTTTACTCCTTAACCACATGTTGTTTCTTGGCTGTATTACCTCTTGAGTAAACTACAAAATTTCATAATATGTATTCATAATCATCTACACTTCTGAACTTTTTTCTCTGTGGTTTAAGGACGAAATGTTATACTTCTAGTCTTTCATCATTCTTGGGTAACCTTCATCCAATAATTATCTTACATAAACACTAGTTCATGTTGCCTATGAAATAGAATTTAACTTGGCTTGTACAGTGAAATTATTTTGTATTATTTGTTGCTTGTCTTTCTGTATATATCTTTTCTTTGTATGTACTTATGGCATATATATCTATTATAGAATCAAATACAAGGAATACAAACAAAATATACATTTGTTTATGCTTTTTTCCATAATCATCTATAAAACCAGACATTTTATTTAAAAAGTGCCTGAGAACAAAATAGAATGCATACTTTTTAGTAGTCACCACAAATTATTGGATCTGCTATTTTTTGGGTAAAAGATAAGGATAATGATATATATATATATATGATATTGCAGAAAATGGCCAGATTTTTTAGTATTTAAGATTTTACAATCATGTCGGGCCTTTATTCTTATCATGTAAAAATTAGTTAAATTGTATATAAAATGTGATTATTGTATCTGTCATTTGATTTCTTGTCTTAGCCTTTATTTTTATGAACAAATTAAAATACTGCTTTAAAGACATTTCCCTTCACAGTTATCTGTGTCAACCATAGTTACATTTTATTACTGTTTTAAGTTTGCTGCAGTGATGGAAAAGTTTGTCCATTTTTATCACAAGACTTTTTAAAACACAAATGGAGAAAAACAAATTTATTTGGTTATTCAAGAAGACTTGAAGTGTTTGTCATTGTATTAAAACAAAATTCTATTTAAAAATTTTTAAAAGAAATATATATATCTTCTCCATAACTAATTTAACCTTTAAAAATGAATTGTGTGGGATAAAATTGTATAAAAATTCCTGACATTTTATAAAGATATCTACAAATAAACCAGACAACAAATAAAATATCTGGAAGACAGAGATGGATACTGAGTCATTTTTGATGGATTATACACACAGGTATCAAATTACTGGATCCTTACTTCCTAGAAAAGGTTAATGACCATTTTTGCTTTTACCCTTTAACTTAACTGTTATTTACAAAGATGAAAACAGAGACTGCATTGGACTGTACATGTGCATATGTGTCAGTATGACTACACAGAGTTTTTTTAATATTATAGGGAACTGAGCCGCAAAATGGATAAGGTCATTAACCATTACTTCAAAAATTAATTTCATTCTACAGTACAAGTTCGCTAAGATTATTAGAGCAAAATGCACCATTTAAAATCTTTTAATTTAAATGAGAACCACAAAATATTTTGAAACTCACATACCCATATCTATCCATTATTAAAATGACCAAAGCCTACAACATTTATTTAAAGTATTATACATAAAACATATTAAGCTAAAAGTTTTCAGTGTGCAGATTTTAATCTTTAGAAGATTAGAATTTGGGGATTTAAAAAATATTTTTGGCTTATATTCGATAAAACCACAGAAATATGTATTTCAATGTTAACAAATTTAAAAATTAATGATTGTACTATGAATAATATTGCTATTATCTATAGTGACCAACCACCTATAGTCTACAATTTCATTATAATTATTTTATATGAATGAACTGTATTAATTACATAGCATATGTTTGCTAGTCTTTTATAAACAAGCATAACAATAATTTTAAAGGAATATATCTCTTCTCTTTGGATTTAAAAGATGTACTGGTCATAAATGTATTTTATGAAGCCATTTAGGAATTAGAGCACTTAAGTTTAAAGCAAGAGAATATAATACTTTTCTGAAACACCTTGTGAGAGATTTGTTGAAAGAAAAGACCTATGGCATTCATCAAATGCTGACCTCTTCTAGTTATATTCATGGCTAGGCCTTTGCTAATTTAACTTCGAATGCATTAGTATAACTCATGACTTTTTTGTGTATTTCAGGTGTGTGGAGGTCATTGCAAAGGAAGGACGGAACCTGAAAGAGCTGTATTTGGTGTCCTGTAAAATCACAGATTATGGTATGTAATAAGCCATTGTCCTAATCTTTTAGAAGAGTATGAAGTTATAAAAATCATTGAAAGTTTTTTAATGAAAGCAGGAATTATCTTATAGATATTATTTATCTTCATTTATGCTAATTCTGCTGAGACTGAAAAAACAAAGAAAAACAGCAAGAAATCATAAGCTAATTACCAGAGTAAATGGATGTGCTTATCAATTCATTGTTGCGTGCAGCTGTACACATATGCACGTATGTGAACATACACACATGCACACAGGATGAAATGGATGAAATGAAAATAAGTTTTGGAACAATTAATTGTTTGATATTATAAACATAATTAAGGAAATTACTGCACTGATTTTATTTCTACTGACATTTAAAATGCCAATCTTTTTTATGCATTGCATTCTTTCCATTCTTTAATGCATTGGAAACATCTGTGTTCAGATATATAGGAAGTAAAGGATATATGTGTATGCAGCATTTTAAATGATATTAATTTTCAATATTCTTTTAAAAAGGATAAAACAAGTTGTCTTATAACTACATGAAATATGCAGTCATCTTTTTGGAATAATAAAATTACCTAACCTCTCCTTTCTTGTTTAGTTTATATGATTTTATCCTTATTAATTTATGTATTGAATCTTAATACAGAGTTTTAACTGGATATTTGGCATTATCAAAGACTTAAATATTTTAAAATATCCTTTTCTTTATTTTTATTTTTTATTCATTTAAATTTGAGAATATGCCTCCTACCTTTAGGGAAGTTAAGAATACAGTAAGTTTTCTATTACTAGCTTTGACCTATGCTAATGAGTGCCATCTAAGGACATCATGCAGATCATCTACCTTGGATGAGAAATTTATATCTTCCCAGTTACTAAATTCATTGTTGGGGCTGGGGATTTAGCTCAGCGGCAAAAGCGCCTGCCTGGCAAGCGCAAGGTCGTGAGTTCAGTTCCCGGTACCGGAGAAAAAACCAAAAAACTAAATTCATTGTTTAGAAGAACTACTAAAGCTATAAAAGAAAACATAGGAACTGGGATATGCAGTGGTAGAGCTCTTGTCTAATGTACATAAGGCTCTGGGTTTGATACCCAGCTCTCCATACCCATACAAAAAAATGTAAAAATGTGTTAAATTAGAAATACCCCTCCTTTATTTTCAGAGCTTATGTTTTGAGAATGATGTGTCTTTTGTGAGTTTATTTATGAATTTTCTGTGTTGTGTATTTTTCCCTATTTGTACTTTGCAAATATTTTAATGTAGTTTTCTTAAAATTTCTGGTTTCACATATTAAATCTGAAGTAGAAAATGTCATTACAATTACAGTTGTTCTGAAGACATAGAGGTATTTTGTCTCATCATAAAGCTAGTGTCCTGTACTTATCTATTAAGTTAGAGAATGCAAAAAATGTACAAGAAGATATGAAAAGTAAACATTTTGGACTTGGAACAGATCTGGTCTCAGGTTCTATCTTTGTTCTTTGTCTATTCATTGGCCTTTGAGTATTTCCTTCATATATATGAGGCTAAGTTTCAACATTTGAAATAGAAAATTAATGTTCCGGTGTGTATGAAATATCTGTATTAGTGAGTAGAGTATATACTACAATTTATTATTTCTATTTCCATACTGCTATAAATGTTGTACACTGCTAATGAATATTTTTCTGCAATAGGGAAGATAGTGGCAAGATTCACTTTAAATTGTTCTACTTGCTTTCCTTTCCTAGGTTTTGGAAGAAGTTTATTTTTAGTTGTTATTGCTATAGGTATTGTTTTGTGATATTCTCATGTTCTAGTCTTTTGAGATTTTTAAGATTTTTATTTTATTCTAGTATAGTAAAATATGTTAAAATCCTATCAATACTGTTTACATTTATTCGTATTTCTGAATTACTTAGGTCAGTGGCTCAGTCCAGTCTGCACATTCAAACACCTAGAGGAGAATTTCTAAAGTATGTGGATTGTCCACCCCATCCAAGACTAATTAAATCAGAACTTCCAGGTGATGGTGCTCAGGCAGTGACTTTGTAAAGCCTGTCTAGATGTTGACAGTTTCAACCCAAGTTAAGAATAACTGATCCTAGTCCACTGGGGAGAAGTCAGAAGTGAACATTTTGTTAACATACCTCTGCTCACGGATGACGAACTAACTTTTCTTCAGTCTCAGACCCTCTAACTTTTAAGGCTTCTGCTTTCTGCCCCACTTCATCCCTTTCTTCTCTCCTAGGGTTTGAAGTATTCAGAGAGTTTGTGGTGAAAGTCTGTAAGTCTATTAATTCTGTTCTCTAAAAGGCTGGGGCACAATTTAGAAACAGGGAAAGGGTCAATACTATATAAAGATTATACTATAAAATTGCAGAACATTACAGAAAACTTACTTCCTCATTTTCCTAGTGTACTGTCAATAACTTATGAGTAATTTTTTCAAGAAGATAGCAAATACAATTATATGTCATAACCAGAGAGATACCATGTTATTGGTATAACTGCTCTGCTAGGAGGAGCTCTATATGTTCTCTTACTCTATGTTTTATTGTATTTATTTATTTATTTATTTATATTTATTTATTAATTTTTTGGTTTTTTTTCCGGTTCCAGGAATCAAACTCACGACCTTGTGCTTGCCAGGCAGGCGCTGTGCCTCTGAGCTAAATCCCCAGCCCCCTCTTACTCTATGTTAATTAAAATTCTAACAAGTAAACTTTACCTTTATTTTTATTTCCATACTGCTATAAATGTTGTACACTGCTAATGAATGTTTTTCTGCAATAGGGAAGATAGAGGCAAGATTCACTTTAAATTGTTCTACTTGCTTTCCTTTCCTAGGTTTACAGGGGGAATTAAACCTTTAACATCTGATAAGTAAAAACATTGTTTAGAACTTGTTGATTAAAGTTATAAAATTTGATGAGTACCAGATCCTGAGGGAATTTTGTCCTTCAAAATGCCACTTCATATTTCTACTTCCTCCTGCTTTACTTATGTTCAAGTTGGTCAAGTAATTCTGTCCTCCTCTTTCTGTGGTAATGGGTATATACAGCTTTTCACTACGTGACATTAAGATTTTTAAGGAGCTTTTGGCAGGATGTGTTGATTCAGAAACAATTCACCTGGTATATCATTTGTAATTTTCATCAAGATTCTCACAGCTGTTAAATGTGGTATTAGAGTATTTAGCAACACCTGGCCAGGCTGCTGTGCACTTATGTTCATTTTAATTGATATAGATCAACGATACAGATGTCATTACAGAAAACTGTCATGTTAATAGTCTTCTAAATCCTCAAGTTGAACATAGATCTTTATGGTAAAGAGTAGCAACTATAAACAGATAATTCAGACACAGCTAAATGGAAAATACAGTCTTGGGAAATTGCTTCCTCAAGGTAAATCTAGTATTGTCACTCTTCTTCCACTAAACAAATGAATATTATAGGCAGAATTATGGAAAAATGAAACTTAGGAGTCACAGAATTAGGTTACAGTACTAGCTTTGCTTCTTATTTACTTTGTAACCTAGAGAAATTTACTACTAATTTTGTCATTTGTTATGCTACATGATAATATGTACCACATAAGGTAGTAAAGAGGGGAAAAAAAAATCTATCTTGTGACTGTAGCATAATGAACACTCCTTAACTAGCATTTTTTTATAAGAGAATATTCTTAGCTCTTAATGCTATCTCCATCTCCATCTCTGTCTGTCTCTCTCAGAATTAGCCTGTTTCTTCCCTCGGGTGGGACTTTCCTGTTTATGGAAATCATTACTTAGAAGTAAGACCTATGTTGTCTATATATGTCTAGCTGACTTCCAGATCAAAATTATCTACTGAGCCTGGCGTGGTGGTGCGCGCCTGTAATTATAGCACTCTGGAGGCTGAGGCAGGAGGATCATTGTGAGTTCGAGACTAGCCTGGGCTGCAAAGAGAACTCAAGGCTAGCCTAAACTGCATAGCAAGACCTTGTCTCAAAAAGACAAAAAAAAAAAAAATTATATACTAGTAGGGAAGAGAAAGAAAGATATGATAAAAAGTCTAACATTTTTAATTTCCCCTGTAATCTTGGGTTTATTTCCTGTCTCTTTTTTATATTAGTTTTTGGACAACTCCTTTTATGTTTCTGTATGTTCCTACACTAATCTGTGAGTTAATACTTTTCAACCGAGCATTTCACTCTCATGACTTAGAAAATGCTTCATTAGTTTCTATAATCAAACCCAAGTAGATGAGACCTTATGTATGTAATACAGTGCGTTACCCCTGTGCAAATGGGAAAAAAATTAAGTTTAACTTTTCTAGACCAATATGGTCATCTTTCAAACACTTTTTTAAAAAAAATTCTCCTCCCTTAGGAAAAAAATGTATCCTTGTTATTAAGAGGAAAAAAAAAGTAAGGATCTACCTGTATTGGTCAAGTTTATGGAAATTTCAACCAGCCTTTCTCTCAAGCTGCACAGCACTTCATATGGTGTAATAAATAGGATGGATGAATAAAGCACTTATGTCCATTAGCGCTACCATAGTGAATATTCCCAGTGTGACCTTTATGTTAAGAGGCAATTGTAAAAAGGACTCAGGTGGCTTCTGGGATATCATCACATTTCTTCTGACTTTAGCATTCCTGGGGGCTTTTAGAAATATACTTTATAGATACTTTTTTGTTTCCTTTCTTAAATTGTCAACTTTTATATTCTGGTTTCTCTTCAGATCGTATAAATCTTTCGCCTTTTAAATTGTCAACTTTTAATTAAAAAGGACTTTAAACCCTCAACTACCTATATATTTCCTTGTAGATTTACTGAGAACCCAGATACTGTCTTTAGCTGTCAAATGTTCTTAGTCACAGTGTTTCTCTGCTTTATCTGGGATTTTTAAATATGATAGTAAAGCTTGCCACAAAACTTTTTTGTATTACTCTGGATTAAAGGACTCATGAGTCAAGGAGATCATATTGTAGATGTCCTTGGTGTATATTCATTCTGTCAGAAAGTATTGATTT